GATAAAGAAAGTCAAGAGATAGACACTTTGTCAATTATACCATCTCAATCAAGTAGCTTGTGGAGACAATCCCGATATGAAGAGCCACCTAAACCATAAAGACGTTAGAGAATACCTAGTAATCACTTGGAATTGTATTTGAGGTAGAACCTACCTATGAAAGATGTCCAAAAGGAGTTTTTGGAGATAATTCCATAATAAAGATATCAAAGTTCATGCTTGGTCACAAGTAAAAGGCTTGAAATACTATCAATGGCTATAAGGGCCTATAAACCATTTGCCTCATAAAAAATAACTCAAATAAATAAAAACAGTATGCCACATATCTTCAACTTCTTACATATATATTGACTTGCAGCAATATTACTTCTCAAAGACCTTGAAGCTAGAGGAAGAGGTGATGTCATAGATATACAACTAAAGAAGATTTGAGAAGATTCTAGGAGGTTCTAAAAGATTTTAAGAAGGTTCTTATAGATCCTAGAAGATTCTAGAAGATTTTAGAAGGTTCTAATAGATTTTAAGAAGGTTCCAAAATATTCTAGTAGACTCTAAGAAAGTTCAAGAAAGTCACAAGAGATTCTAGAAGATTCTAGGAGGCTTTAGATGAATTAAGAAGTTGTCAAAGAAGGATCTTAGGCTTGCTTTGTTTCTAAGCCTCATCAAAACTTCTCAAAAAGCTTCCTAGAACCTAGTATATATAGGAATCGAGGCTGAAGGGATCCTCAATCTCAACAACTCACTTCTTGTAGTCTAATTAGGACCTTCTTGCTTGATATCCAGTTATTTTTTTAATATCGAGCTAATTCCATTTTTTGGTCTTGAATCCTTGTCTTGTACATAGTCCCTGATACCTATCAATCAACTACAAACACATATAAAGTCAAAGCAGCATCTATAAAGCTTTTAGGAAGCTTCTCAAGAAGGTATTATGAAATTAATTTATTTTTATCTATTTTTAATTTTAATTTTATCTTCTTCTATTTAATCATTAAGGTATTTATTATAATACATATGTATATCCGTGACACTCTGTGATTTTTATCAATCAATGTAGTAGATATATTTTACTTATTTCTTAATTCTTGTTATTCTAAAAATAAAAAAAATTATTGATTGCTTTTATAATATAAATAAAAAAATAAAAAATGAAGATAGAGATGTAAAAGCTTGCTTAGTATAACTAATATTTTGTAAATATTATTCATTTAAAGTTCATGACTGCATATAGATCATTACATTTTTTGAATTTGAAATATGATATTTAAGTGATTTTATTATTTTTAGTCTTATATTATAGAATACTATCATAGTGTTAAGTTAATTGTGGCTTTAAAGTATTGAGAGTTGTAAATATAAGATTGAATATAAGTTTTGTTTTTTTTTTTTTTTTTTTTGTTATTATGTTGAAACTTTATTGTGTATAAATGTTGTATTTATGTCAAGTTGGTAAACTTTCTATTCTTAAATGGTTGAATAAAAAAAAAAAATTTAAAATATCATGTAGAAGTGAAATGCATAACATTTGAATTAAAATCTATCAAAATAGAATTCAACAAATATGCATAAATGAGTGAATATATGCATAAAACTAGTATATCATATAATCCAATCTAATATATATATATATTTATATATATATATAGATATAAAATTAACATTAAAATATTTATGATAATTATTAGAAAGTCCTTGTAATTTAGAATATAGTCTACTAATATAGAACATTGCTTGTAAATAAATAAATTTTAAAAAAAAAAAAAAAAAAAAAAAAAAAACGTTTTTCATATTAAAAAAAATAGAATAATATTCTTTAAATTGATAGTCACAAAATGGCATTTTTAAGCCAACAAAATGTAGTTATTAAACTATAAATACAAAGTTTTGGCTCTTATATAGCTCTATCTACAATCACATTTATTTGTATCTTATATGAGACTTAATATAGAACAAGTAGGAGAAGTTAAATTGTATTCTATATTACAAAATATAGGACAAAGTTCTTAATTTCCTACAAAAAGAGGGCCTAATCATGAGCCTTTTATACTAGCATTTTCAATAAAAAAATATTTTGCTAAGTTATATCTTCCTCCTTATATTTGTAATATAAAAATACATTTTATACATACATCAAAATTATACTTCTTTTATGTATATTCAAAACATCAAAGAACAACTCCATTATATAAAAATATTTTGTATATCATATTATAAAATAATGATTTTTTTTCTCAAAATTCCTATTTAAAAAAATTAAAACTTTTAAAAATTACTAACTCAAATATTTAAAAAATATACAATAACTTTAAATAACTTAATAAATATATTTTAAAATTAAACTAAATAAAAAATTAATAAAAATATTACTGACAAATAGTAATTTATTAGTTTATTGATGGAACTATGATCATGCAAGGGGATGCAGACGTGCGGGTTGAAGTTGACGCTGGTCGTAGTTCAATCTCGGGAGAACTACTCTCCACACATGGTCTCTGTGAAGAATCTCATCTATTCTGCTAAATTTATTAGGGAGCCTCAAATAGCTGCCACTATGGCGGGAATGCTTGGGCACACTGCGGTTCACAAAGTTGCCAAGCTGGAAATGCAATGACCTCTCGACACTGTCAATTCCATGAATTTGGCTCCTGACTCGATAAGTGTAGGTTCACAACAATCAAGCTGCAAAGTTCTAACCAACGGCCATTTGAGAAGCACTCAAGTAGACTTGAGCGCATCTCCAGCATCTTGGAGTCGTTTATATATCGATCAATCCCAGGAAACAAAGGTGCAAAAAGCAACCTCAGTCAATCCCACTTATCGCTTGGCTCTGAATTCTCTGCCGTAGAAGCTCAAATTTAACATCACCAAACCCCCACATCCTTCATTGCCTCTTCTGACTCTGATGACGAAGAGAACCGTCCCGGCTGCAACGATCAGCATAAGCACTGCCAAAAAACCAGAACAATGCTCACCAACCGTGCAATTGGACCCAGCACTCTCCCTCTCTTTTAAATTTATTGGTTTATTGCTGGAACTATAGTGGTCAGTTTCTCAAGTTGTCAACTATGAATATTCGTGATTCAATGCGGAGTTCTCATCAACATCAACACTTTGTCTGCTCTCACCATTAGAAAGAAATGCCACCATCCAGCTTTCAATCACAAGTGCCAAATAAATGTGCTTTAAGCAGAAATAAGATTCAAAAAAAAAAAAACAAACAAACAAAAACAAAAACAAAAAAACAAAAAAAAACAAAACAAAAAAGAAACAGCATTGGAAGCATGAACAAATGAAAGCACATTCATGAGAAGGGATTCAAGTATTCTCAGGTACACTGAAGGACCTGCTTGAACACTGATCCCCCATGCGAAGAAAAAGAGTTCATTCCAGAGACCATTTATTTGTTTCAAGGCACTTGTAATAACTGGGTTATGAGATCATCGAAGTGTAGTTCGCAGTGTGGTTCCCACAACTTTTGCTTGGAGTCCTAACTTCATAGAATCATAACAAGTGAATAAATAGATGTGACACATTCTCTCTATGGAACCAGAGTTAGGAGATGAAGAAGAACCCAGTTTCTAGGAGCTAGTGCAATCTCTTTGAGCAGAAGGGTTTACGGGCAGTATAGAGGCAGGTGGCGCCAGCGGCGGAGGGGTGCCAGACCTCTTCCCACAAGTGCCACGTCGCACGTATTGCGATACATGGGTTGGGCCCCAAAATGGGCTAAAATGGGAGTATTTTGATAAGCTATCAAGTACATGGGTATTTTTGAAATTATGAGAAAATTCAAGGGTACATGTGTAATTATCAAGAACATAAAGGCATTTTTGATATTTCCACATATTTCAGGGGTACAAATGAAATTTTTCCTAGAAGTATGTAGAAGCACGTAGAAGCATATTAAGAAAATAATATCTTCAAAAAATAAATTAAAGAAGTTTCTTGGACATAAGTTAGATTTTAGATTCTTCTAGATATGCCATGTGCTTATTAAAAAAAATTCTATAATCTTTTTATTTTTATAAAGCCATATTAGAAGCAACCTACAACTTCACACTTTGGCCATAAGCCTTTGGTCCTTAAGAACTTCTACAAGACCTTTTTGGTAGTTGATATAAAGAGAGGTAGGATTAATGTTGTTCTCAATCTTTTTATTGTTTATTTTATATTTCGTGTTTTAATTCAAGAATCTCTATTTTCTTTGTATTTAGCAATGTCCATTTTAGTTCAATTCTTCCTTAAATCTATTACTTTTTTATATATTTTTTTTCTATTTAATAATATATAAATGTGATTTCTTTTGAATTTTTTTATCTTAAATTATATCCTTGAATTTTTTTTCAAGAATAAAATATACAATATTAAAGCTAGATCTTTTTTAATAAATAGTAGATTTTATTTTTTTTTATTGATGACATCAAAGTAATTTAGAAGTTGTAGATTGTTTTCTTCTAAATTTGATATTAATCTTATGATAGTACTTTCATTTCTATTTAACTATTTGTGTAAAATTTCTTAAGTTCTTTTAGTAATAGCACAATAATTAGATGTACCAAAGAAGTGTATCCTTTCTGTACACCTATTAATATACTTAAGTAGTTTTTCTAACAGACTTCTTATTATGGAACCTTTTCTCATGGTTTGAGTTGTGAGCCATCTTATCTCATAGTACATAACTCAACTATAGAGACACGGGGTAACACATAGGGTTGGTTTAACAGGTAAACTTGTAGTTGTATTAAGTATGGTACATCCTGTAAGTGATTGCTTTGGAAGTATGGGGTGACATTATTTGGATATTTAAAGAACTTGTACTGAAGGTTTCAAGAATCAACACACATAAGGGCATAACTAATGGTGAGCTTGTACTTGCACAGATTTAGGCATGAAAAGTCACCTACAAAAGATGTATGTAAACATTTAGAAGCCTTCCAAACCTTGAAGGTAAGTATCAGGCTTCATTTCAATAGTGGATAAATCAAAACTTGAATGGAGGAAAATTTTAGGGTTGAAGGTGCACCTGAAACCTTGCATTGAAGTATAAACTATTAGGCATGCTTTACATGTGGTGAGGCAGAGAATGGTTATTCTCACTAATCTGTCAAGGTATGAGCGTTTGGACTTAAAACTTCGGATCTACGTACCATGGCTGACAGAAATACTCAGAAAAAATTCCTAGCAAACGTTCTAAAACTCAACATGAGAAAGAAAGTCTTCCCAGTGAATTATATTACAAATCGCCATAGACCCTTGCCTCTTCTGGCTTGCAAGTAGTATTTGAAAGACATCGGATATTCTCCGGTAGTTCATTTCATCTGCTGCTCGCGCATTTCAGTAGAAAAGAGTAAAATCAATATGATTCTTCCAGCAGTCCCCGAACTGATGCGGAACTTTCAGCTTCTGTTCCATTCGATGCTTGTGACGCCCTCTGATGGCAATGCCATCACACTGAAATGACTCTAATGTCCAGAAACTAAATATCATCAACAATTAATCCCACATTGTTGAAGATCTGGGCCGGTGACTTTGGTCAAGAAGGGATCGATACGAACCCAAAGAAGAGAAAAAATGGAAGCCAACAGAATCGACCACACAATCACGATTGTTGGAGTGCGGTTCTGCCTGCCCATCAAACCTTTCAGGAAAGGATACAAGTGTACAATTACCCAAAAGGCAAAGAAAATCTTGCCAAATAGAGGACCCCATGTTTGATATCCGTTGTTGATTGCATCAGAGATTCCGGCAACAACGCCAACTAAGTTAATGATGAGAAGGGTTGTGGGGGGAATTAGCAGTGAAGTCCACTTAAAAGCATAAAGCTCCCCAAAGTCCTCGTCCTCAGAAGATTTAGAAGTGACGGTGAAGTTCGTATCAATGCCAGCAAACACCTTCAGAAGACCTTGGAAGACGGCAAATAAGTGAGCAGATACACCTCCGATGACCCAAAACTGCTCGTTTCTCCACCACTCATCTATACCAACTCCTGACCACCTCATTTCAAGGATACCCGTAGCAAAAATGGAAATAAATAGAGAAATGAACCATAGACTTGCGAGATTGCTTATCTGCAGAGATTCAACCGGAAGGGCAGGTTAGAAGATGCTGAGGAGAAAAACTTTTGAAGTGGAAGTTGTACGCAACTAAGGTCCCACGTGCAATGAAATATTCCTAACGCAAACCACAACTTATAAACTGCATAAGGGAAACCGAAGGATGACCATATGAGACTCATGCTGTCTCATCTACCCTAATGTTTCATAATTAAAATTCACATACCGATGGGATGATGAATTTGCCTGTGAGCAAGCAAACTGCTGGAAGAACACAGTACGCGAGGAGAGGCAACGATGTTAGGGGATATACAGTAGTGTTGATGTACGCTAGCCTTTCTAGGCATTTTAGCCCACCACTCTTTCCACCACCATAGCCGTACCAAATAGGACAATGTCGACTGAGGCAAATTTCTACGGATCCAAGGGCCCAACGCAATACTTGATTCAGACGGTCAGAAAGATTGATAGGAGCAGATCCCTTAAATGCCGGTCGTGGGGGCATGCAATATATTGAACGCCATCCTCGACAATGCATCTTGAAGCCTGTAAGAATATCTTCCGTAACCGATCCGTAAATCCATCCAATCTGTGCCCAAAGAACATGAAGTTGCTGTGATACAGTGTGGAACTTACTACGTAGAGGCTGCTTGTCACATGCATGATTGCTCTCACCAATTTTCTAGCTAATTGAAAGTGCAAATCTTCTTAGTCCTAAAATCAAGCCGTCACACATGATTTTAGTGCAATTTAAGAATAAAATGTCAAAAATCATTCAACGCAGCATTTGTTCAAAACATTACCTCCTTTCCCCATTCTGTTTTGTCTTCGTACCCGCAGCTAATCACATGAATTGCTTCCTTCAGTAAAGATCCGGGATTTGCAGTATGTGGTACCCCTCCATCCTCTAAGAGCGTGGAGGCAACAAAGACAGGAGACTGACCAAAACGCTTCTCGAAGTTCTGTAAAGACATTAGTGATGATTTTTCGTCCTCCATTCCTGCAGGCTCACGATAGATCTTGCTCAGCCATGCTCCTTGTTAACATAGTGTCTGTAATTTGAAGGACTGATAACCAAGACCTTCGTAAATAATGTAACTTTACTCAAATTATGCTGGCACCTTAGACTGAGAAAAGTATTAGTATTGCATCTCACCCTCGATTCGTTCTCCCATGTCTTCGAGACTGAAGATAGGCACAGCAGAGTCCAATCTTGCAGAACATTTCAATTTCCCACTGCTTTTCGATTTCGGCTTTTTGGGCCTAGGCATGCGAGGTCCGCAGCACCACGTTGGGCATATACCACTAATGTGACTCCTTTTTGAAATCTTATCTTTCGGAGGAGGGTCATAACCGTAAAGGGCTTGCCTTTTGAAAACACATCCAGTACCCACATACACAGGACCCTGAATACCATCGAGACCTTTCAAGTTGATCTGCAGTGCGAAATCGCAAATCAGACATGAATCCGCCTTAGGAGAGTAGGTATATCCTAGTTTTCATTGAAGGTGTGTCCTGTGCAACTCAACAAATGAATAGATTGATAAAAGTTGAGCTAGATTTAGATCCACTAATTTGTGTCATGTTTCAGAACCAACAGCGTTCACATGTTATTATTCATCTACTTACGTCAAAGAAGACTGTGTTGTGGTTGGCGTATCTATCATTTCGGTCGATGCCATCAAATCGCTGTGGAAACTGGACATAGCAAACTCGCTTGCCAACTGTTGGATCCATTAAGAAGCACATGGCTTCTCGGAGTGCTTTACTATTGTTTATGTAATGATCGCAATCCAAGTTGAGGAAAAAGGGGGCATTTGTTAGAACTGCTGAAACTCGAACTAATGCATTCATGGCACCAGCCTTCTTGTGGTGATCGAAGCCTGGGCGTTTCTCTCTTGATACGTAAACCAATCGCGGCAATTCATTCCCATTCGTATCACGTCCACCGCTGTGACCCAAAAATACCTGTTGAATTTTAAGCCACACAATACAAAAGAAGAGATCGCTCTTAGCTTAAAGTCACATGGATTTCTGTTTGAACATGAAGAGTATCGAAGTTTTCAACCAAGGACTTCACAGATACAATGTGAAAGTTCACTTCTATCAACTCACTTGTATCATTCCTGGATGGTCTCTGGTGTTATTCCCAGGCCAAGGTGTTCCATCTTGCATTGTCCACCCTTCCTCTGGTACTTTCTGAGCTTTTGCTACTAGTGCATTTACCCGCACTTTGAACTCCTCATATTCTCTCTGCAAAAATTGAACCAGTCCTACCACATTAATGTAATTTTTAGAACTAAAGGCACTGACCGCAACAAATACACGTTCTGATTATTGCCATTTTAAGATAAATAAAGATGACATGCAGAAAAAGAACCAAGTAGCAAGTTTAATCCGGACCTTCATGGCTCTGCGCTCTTTGACAAATGTAGGCTGCACTCTATCCTTCAGGTAATCAATCTTTAAAGCGAAGTAAGCCTCAGGGGCTCTGGGCTCAATGTTAAATTTCTTACAGAAAGGAACCCACTTTCGAGCAAACTCTGATGTTTCAGATAAAGCCTCAAATGTCAGCATGGCTGCACCATCATCAGAGACATAGCAGGAGACTTTGTCGACAGGATAGTCAACGGCAAGGATAGATAACATAGTATTGGCTGTGACGAGTGGCGGTTCCTTGGCAGGATCCACAGTACTGACGAATATATCAGCATGAGCCAGCTGGGATGGCTCACCCTCTTTTTCATACCTATGAAAATGAGTGAGACCTGATTAGAGTCAATGTGATTTCCAAGTATTATAACATGTCCAATTTCACCAATATATGCAAGACTAAAGATTTTGTAATCTTGACAAACTTTCGTAAATTAAGAAATATTCCTTGAATTCAAGGTATGTGCTAGTCTTGGGTAGCGGGTCATGATGGATTTCTTCAGATTCTCAAAGGAGATATATATGAGATAATGCTTGCCATGTAATGTATCCCCGGGCTTTAATGCTATCAATTTTAAGGGATAAATACACACCTGAGAGATAGCCGGTCCAAGTAGGTCTCACGGTTAATTGGCAACCACTTCGGAAACTGATCAAGTATCCAAGAGACACCAAACCATATTTCGCAGATCACAGATGTCAGCCATAATCCGTATGCACCAGGAACGGGGTTTAATAGGCGATAACGAAAGAAGAAAGCAATCACTACCAGGCGGATGACAATTATCATCCTATAAGGATTAATTCTGCTAGATGGAAAGGGTACTTTTCTTGATAGGGGCTGCCTTGCCTCATCCATTCTGTTAAATAAAACATCAGATCGCACCGGATCAGTTACTCTTTTTGGGAAGACCAGGATCTATGCCATTAACATTATTTACACGATACCAGTAACTTGGCCATTGTACGCTTCTCAACGACCGCCTGACCTTGGACAACATGATTGGACGTTTGCAGTTACAACATTCTACTGCATTAATGAACAAGTGAGAGATAATCAATATTAAAAAACCCACAAGAAGGTTGCATACATCGCATCCCGACAGCTTTTATCCAGCAACCAAAGGTGCTGCGATTATTGATCCTGCATAGTGATAATAAAATGAACGCAGTCCGACTATGCTTACGTCACAAACTTTCCCAAAAAGAGCCTATTTGTTAGACTATTACATAGGCAAGTCGGGCCCATTGAGGTCGTCTTCCTCTGGACCACCCTTCCCACCGGCTTGAAGCTGACCTCCTTCCGTCATCGTCATTTGCAACTTCCCCTGCCTTAGCTTCCAGCTCTCTACCCTTTCCTTCCAAGCAACACTGCCATAACCATATTGAGCAAGATCCTTGGTTGGATCCATTGGACGAGCTCCCACTGCAATATTTGATTAAACGACTGTTAATCATTTGGCCGTTTGAAGAGATGCGATTGTCCCGGGAGCTGCTTGCGTTCGACAGGACTTAAAATTCGCAATACCAGTAAGGTTATCCACAATGAGCTAGAACCTTCAAGGCATTTCAGTTTCCGTGCGAAATTGGACCACCAATCAAGTATTGAATTTAAGGAACAGAACATGCATTGTAGTACAGGTGTACTAATATTCATTTCATATACCTGGGGTGCCACCTTCAAGGTAAGGAATGGGGTGAATCCTCTTCCCACCTGAACTTGGAGGAAGAACGATAGCATGATGTTCAAGTGAAGTCGAATTCGATTCACTCATTCCAGAGACCTGTTTCACAAACAATGTTGAATCCCCGCTTTCAAGCCCCAAATTATATTATAACTAATGCACGATTTTTGAAAAAAATATCTGCACTTTACCCCGTTAGATAGCACAAGAGACTGCCATGAGAGGCAAGCAGAGCATCACATACCGTGCGAAGGGAAAACTGGGACCGCATTGATGACATCGTCTGGTCATTTTCAAGTCCGTAGCTCATGTGGCTATGTAGCACGTCATCTGTAGCTTGCTGCTTGTCTTGCTTATGAACATCTCTGTAGTTAAACTCATTTTCTAGGTCATCTGTGTCGTCTTCGTCTTCATCACCGTCGACCCTCGGACTTCCTTCATGGCCAACAATGATAGATTACGTCGGTAACTGTAATACATATTTCTTGGCTCAAAGCTTTCAACCGAGAAGTTAGTGCTAGTAACATGAAGCAACAAGTTGTTGATGGATTTTCCAAGAGTACCTACTGCTCACCAGACCTGAATCTAAATAATAAGGCACAAAAATTGTCCACAACGTGCGAACTAGTGAGAGACTTTGCTGGGTATAAGTGCAGTATAAAGATTCTAATGATCATGCACCAATTCAGTCAGAACTGCACGTAGACACCAAAAGACCAATAAACTAATTGACTTCACTTTGCATTCCAATCCCTACATATGAAGAGGATCAAAATTGGACGCTGAACAGTCCGAGATTTCTGCTACTTCTACTGCAAAGGATTCTTGAATTAGCGTCATGGATTTCAGAGTATTAAACGTTGAACAAAAAGCATAACTGAATTCCGTAGTCCTATTCAGATTTTGCATAGCACAATAATAGTAGAAAATTGAGTCATACTTGACAGAAACACGAACCACTAAAGCCCAAGATTCTCTGCAGCGGCTTGACTGAAGCTAATGTAACAACGACAGGTCGTTCAAATGTGGCAATATAACAATGTAGTAACGATCTAATCGAAGTTGCCAAATGACACAGCATATCCCACCTTTGTGTCTTTCATAACGAGTTCGACATTGGGGACAAGACTGATTGCCTTCATGACGCTCGTACTCGTAGCAGGGGCGGCAGACGGGGAAACCACATTCATTGCACGCTACGAAAAGCTCCCCTTCCGTAGTGATCCCAACGTCATCTCCACAAATTTGACAAATGTGGCTGTTAACATTGTTTAGTGGTTTTGGCTGCACAAACAGCAATCCAAAATTCTCTTCAGAAACTCATACATTGTAACTCCACAATTTCTTTATTCCGGACTTTTCACAGGCTTCATTCCATTCTACCCATGGCCGTCTAGTGGAAGTCCACGCTCTTGTCTTCCAGATGATTGCAAAGTAGCGAGAAAATGAAATACTATTATTAGGCAGTCCTTTATAGTTGCTCTCAGCAAACCTTTCTAGCTCTGCGAATGGAGTAATCCAGAAATTGCTCTGTAGGTATGAGAGCGCGTTCTTGAGGGTTCATTCTGCATACTTTTAAGCTGGATATGACTGAAATTTTTGACAAGAGTAGAGTAGTGAAACGAGGACCACATCACCGAACATAGGGGTTTTCTGTGTGCCCAAGGCAGATTGCATTTTAGAGCTAGTGATCCTAACAGATGTGAGCATTAAACTTCATTTTGGAACGTTGGTTGCAGTCAAGTCGAGCACTGAACACAGGGGCAGTACTTTGATGCCCCCATTCCAAATTGTCCACAGTGCACCCTTCTCCGCGGAGACTGGCGAGAGGATGCTCGCAAAAGAACAGCAGCTGGGATGAATACAAATCTGGGACAGCGACCAGTCGAACTGCTGGAGCTGAAATAGTCTTTCAAACAGTTCTGGGTCTGTGTTCACATTTCTATTCCACGACCTGATATCCTCTCTTACTTTCTATGCTCTAGCCGCACTCAAATTGTGCATTAATGAAAAGTACACTTAACAGAGAGTCCTATTTCAACATCCTCTCAACTTCCATGATTATAAATTACCCACCAGATCCTTAACAGGGATGTCCATGTAGCAGCATCTGCTGGAGTACGAAAGTTTCTAGGTGCAAGATATGAACAAATATTCTCAAATGTTTTGGCCCAACACCACAAATCATTCATCTCTATCATATCTCACACACAAACGTCGACATATCATTTTCCTTATCAAGGATACACTGCAAGAGAACATTTCAAGACCAAGTATGAGTTGAAAGATCAACCCCATCGCCGTCCTGACGAATGATAACCAGCTCGTTTCGATTATGAGATCCAGCCACCAAGCCCGCATTCGCTTCCATCTTCCAACCAGTGAGGACTCCTGAATGCCAAACCTCTGTACACCAATAAAATCACCTTTCTATCTTACCAAAAAAAAAGAAAACCACCCTTGATTCCATGAACTTAAACAGCTCCTCGAACCATGCAACTACAACTCTAACGCAACTCGGGGCAACTTAAAACCCACGGTTCCACTCCCCTGACAAGGACGAACCCAGCACTCACAAGCATCACTTCTAAATAGTCAGAGGCCAATTGATCGATGTCTGCCTCTCCCGTAATTTGAGACAAATCGAGCAATGCATTGACCTCACTAGAAACTCAGAGCACGTTCATGAATTTCAGAGACAGACGCTGAGTAGAGAGAGGGAACGTGTCGAGGATATTCGGGAAGAGCAACATAAAGAGAGTTCCTGCGCACGAACCACAAATTCTGGTGATGCGTAGCTTTGATAAATAGCGCTGCAGATTCACGTTGTCATTAATCACCACTCTGCAAGTTCACCAAGGCAAACGCACATGGAAAATTCCCACTACCGTTGACAATTACTACTCAGCAGCAGAGCGCGAGCCTCGACAATGGAATTAACACACTCGTAGCGTATCACACACACAGTTACAACAACTAAGAGCTCCCCCCCACTTGGTCCTCAATTCAACGTACTCTCGTGCCCATCATTGTCGCCCCGATCCCACCTCGGAGAAGGGGATCATGACCGCGGCATCATGAATTCTAGTGGCAAAAACACATCCGATGGAGCAAGTGCCGAAGTGGTGATATGGGGTTACGATCTTCTGCAAGATGAGAAGGAGAATGATGCTGCATCTCCGTTGCGTCGCTGCCAATCTGCCTGCACTGCCGGTTTAACCCTGGCACTACAAATATTCCCGCCCATTTCACTTCAGGCTCCGCTTCATCTCTCCGTTGCGGCGTCGCTTTTCCTTGGAGACGGCGGGGAGCGAGGGAGAGATTGATTTGATGGGCTCGATGAGTAGCTACCTGATTCTATTGGATGAGTGTTCCCGTTTCTTGGATGAGATTCTAGTAGGTTGGAATTTTGGGTGGAGTTGTTTCATCCGTCTATTTCACGTGTTCTGAACTTTGTACAATATTTGTCCAATGAATTCAACTACCATTGCATTGAATTGTGGTGGGCTCACAGCTAAAAATACATATCTAGTTTGCAACTGGATGTGAGAATATTTACATCTTTCTTTTTGAAATACAAAAGATTAGAATATAGTAACCCATGATGTAATTTAAACTTGATAGAGATGTTTAGAGAATATGTTTTGGATAGTAGAAATATCCTTAGAGAATAAGTTAAGATATTTTTTTAAAAAAAATAATAAAATTAACATATCTCAAATATTATTTCTATAAATAATGCTAAAAATATTTTGATTAATTTTGTTGAAATTATTATATGTTTAATTATTAGAAGGAAAAATATAATATATATCCCTCAAGTATGCTAAAATATCAAGAATAGCCTTGCATTCTTAATAATAGCAAATACATTCCTAAGATTTGTAATAATAACAAATGTATCCTTGTCAATAATAAGTTACTACTAACATTGTTTTCAAGTACAACTTTGCAATGAGCAATTCAATAAAAAATAAGTTGATGAGAATGGTGACAGAGTCCTACTTTGCCATCACATTCATTGATGCATACAACAACCATCAAAATACATTGCTTGCTTTTGTTTTATCAACCTAAACAATTAGATTAGTTTGGTAGCAATCATGTTATGTAGTATTTGAGATACACTTTTGAGATCATACTATAATTTTAGAATGCTTGGAAAATTTGGATGAGGATTTTAGAGCTCTTTAAAGTGTTTGAGAATTAGCTTGTCACTACTAATTCACCATCCAAGTTGCATTTTCAAGCTCTATGCATGCTAATGGTTGAATTTTATAGCATTCACAAGAGTCATGTGAGGTTGAATTACTATAGAAATTATTAATGTAATTTAAATTTTTGTGAGTTTTTAAAGATTCTAGGATAGTGGATAGAAGAAAAGAAGGGAGGTTGCAATAGTGATGGGATGAAAGGAGACTATGACATTCGCTTTGGTTAGAGCTAGAGTAGCCAAAGTGTTGGCTATCAACAAAGATGCTGGTAATAGTAAATTAGGTGTGAGTTTCTTTAAGCAATTCATGAGCTTGGAAAGTGCAATACAAAGGCAACTTAATGCATTTTTTGTTGGATTGTTCATTGCAGGGCTATACGTGTTGAAGCTCAAGCTTTTTTTTGGTTCAATTGTCTTGTCTATTATTAAGAATTGGTTGCAAGTTTCTTATATTTTTCTTCTACATTCATCAATCTTTATCAATCTTTAGCTTCTTTTAGAGCATTATGCCAAGTTAATTGCTTAATGTCTACAAGATAAAATAGGCATTCAAATTTGATGCATATGAATCAAGGTACTGAGATGAAATATCTTAAGTTGAAAAAAAATTGAGGACATATCCTTGCAAGACTTTTCACCATATTAACTTGCTATACAATTACTCGTGTTTGCATTCTATCATTGCAAGCCCTCTCCACTCTCCTTATCTTTACTTCAATGTCCTTCACTTAACAAAATCAACTGCTAGACTTGTTTTTGCACATTGGACTAACTAACAAGCCAAGCTGCAGCCAAATCTCTTACAAAATATTGTTGGAGTTGATAATTCACAAGTACAATACAAAAAAGAGTTGCTTACAATTGCATGGTGAAGTTGTGCCATTCCTAAAGCACAAAGCAATAGATGTGTGATATCATGAGGGTATAGGTCTATAAAACATAATATATCCAAACTAGCTTCTAAGTAGACAAACTTCTTCTACTGCCCAATGTCGAGAAGTTTGTTGTTGATTTGGAAAAGCATGAAGGTTCTTATTGTAAAGAACTTTATTGCTTATGTATGTCTTTATTAGTTTCAATCCTTCATTTTGCACTTTTTTGTACTAAGTTATTACCTAAATCTCTTAATTATACCTCATTTGACATACCTCACTTTGAATTTGTATAACTCATTGTAAAATCATTGAAAAGATTTGACATCTTTTGTAATAGATTACATAACTTATTCTCTATTCATTCTCAATTTTCAAAGTGATTGATAATTTAAATCATCTATAGCAAGCAAATTTCCTAAATTAAATTTTTAATCACTATTTATTACAAACATCCAATAAGAAGATTATAAGAATATCCTTAAAATATTCTATCAAGTTCTAGAAGGTACCAAAAGATTTTTAAAATATTCTAATAGGAAGTTCTAGAAGATTCTAAACAAAATCCTAAAAATTCTAAAAAGTTTTTAAAATATTCAAATTGATTCTAGAAAGTTTTAGAAAGTTCTAGAAAGATTAAAGAAGTTGCTTAAGAAGCTTCTTAGGATTGCTTCATCTTCAAGCAACATGGAAACTTCTTAAGAAGCTTCCTAATACCTAATATATATTAAAGTTAAGGTTGAAGAGATCTTTAGTCTTGAAAATATATCTCTTAGAGTTTAAGCTTATCTTTCTTGGTATTGATCTTGTACTCATCTAGTTTAATTAAGTTCTTGCTAGTTTTCCTGTTGAAAATTTTTTATTCAATTTCTTATTTGGTCTTCTGTATAGTGTATTCATGATACTACTCTTTTCTCACAATTCTACATTTGATTATTTTTTTGTGCATATCTTCTAAACCAAATATTACCAAACTTAATAATCTTAAAACTTTGTGATTGTGTTTTTGTCTTACCAATACAACTATATTTTAATTATCATAACCATAACTCTAATAAACACCAAGTTTTGACCCCTCTAAGTTGTTGTTCTTGACTTGTAAACTTATTGGACCCCTTTTGCTTTAGCATGTTGTTTTTTCTTGCTTTGGTTAATTATTACAATCAAATTTTGCACACATGTGGATGTACTTCTCTTAAATATTGTTCCAAAAGCTTACTCTAATCAAAGCCTCTAATCTAAGATCCAAAATTTGATCTTTTTAATAACTAAAACAAAAGATATAACAACAATATTCTTTGTGCCTCTCTTCACTCCTTTAAGTCACCTCAACACTTCAAAAATATCACCAAAATGTCTCCAAGATGTTTTCTAGTTGCTTCCAAGAAGACTCTTATATAAACCTTGATTATAATACTATAAACTTATAAGAGATTATTATTAGAGCATTTAAACATAATTTTGACTAAGTTATTAACAAAAATATATATATATATATATATATATATATACAGACATAAATCCCACACTTGATTTAATGAACATATTTATCTATTGAATAAAGACTAAAAAAATTGATTTCATCACAAAGATTTTCTAAAAATGTTAAAAAAAAACTGTAATATAAAGTAACAAATCATGAAAGTTTCTAGTAAAATTTGTTGCTAACATGAAAGATGATGTTACAAATACATAACAAATTACAACTTTAAGTACTTTGAAGAACTCTATCAAATCTTCTTAATCCTTTCAAACATTTGTATTGCTTTCAATAAATCTTTGAAACTTATTGGACCTATTAAAACGTTCAATTTAATTATAAGACTTTTCCTAGAATTTCAACATACTACATCATTCAAAAAAATTTAAGAATGTTCTTTAATCATCTAGAAATTTCTGTATCCTTCAAAACATTTTAGTGTTTGAAAAACATTACATCACAAAATTTGATATTTTATAATTTTTAGAACCTAAAAAGCTTCTAGAGGCCCTAATTTTCATAATATAGATACCAAAGAAGAGAAAAAACAAACAAACAAACAAAGCCACAAAAAAGAGGGAGTGAATAACATCAAGGCTGCACATGCTAATCTATACAGATATCATCTCCATACAACCTCACCAATGTAGAGAAAAATTCTGCACAACAAAATCGGCCTTGGTTTAGCCTCTACCTCAAGAGTAAAGCATGACTTCCATACAGGAAGATAGACTCGATTTCAGAGCATCGGTTGTTCAACTATCGCGTGCTCCAATAGCAACTCCTAGGCTCAACTCTCCCTTTCAAGGTGTCAATTAAAGCTCAATCACGATGATACATTTCTAATCTTTCACCTCAATAACATTGAAACCAATGAATGCAGTAAATAGGTGACAATAGAAGCATTCAAATATCAGTTAGTATTTTTCGAATCAGACTAGAGAGAGAAAAGAAAGAACACTTGAGAGAGTACCTCGAAATCAATTGCCTTAATTTTCAAGTAGTAAGATCTTTAGAGACTCATCCCAGCTATTTACATGGAAAATCCAGGAAAAATAGCACCTCTTCGCTTATATTTTCGCTCACAGCAGAGCCCTCTCTCTACTACCCTAAAACTTCTACAGGCTGAGCACATCATTTTTTTAAATGAAACTAGTTTCAAATCAAATCCTCCAATCACTGAGTAGGTTTGTTTTGAATCAAATTGAATGTCAAAACTTCTTCACATCACACCTGCAACAGATGGCGAAAGTATAGTTTGAGAAATCATGATACATATCCAACACAATTTCATCTTTAGAGATGATACACTAGATGGACCAGGTCTTCAGATTTCGCACAAACAAATATTACACAGGTACTCAAAAGGGCTACTGCACAGGAAAATGCAAGTACAAAGGAAACAGAGGTACCCCGCATGCGCGATATGCTGGTAACCAATTTGGACAGAATACCATGAGCCATCATGAGAAGCTTTATAACAGTCTTCTGGAATGCCATGCCAAGTTGTTGGTTGGAGTTCTCCTCAGCTCATTCAGCATTTGACATCGTCTCATTCATGAATTCAGATTTGTCGTAAGACCACGACTTGTAATGAGACCACAACTTGATTGTTCGATCATGTGAAACAGTTGCAATATAGCTCCCATCTAAAATCAACAAACACATTCAATGTAAAACTGTCAATTGAAAGTGAAAGGACTAAGTCCACCGTGAGCATATACCAGGTTAGGTGACTACTACCGTACAGTCATGACCGTAGATATGCATCTTTCCAAATATAAACTGGACGGCACTTCAGTAATTTAAGTCTAATTACCTTGCATAAAATTGTATAAATCCAACTTGTTACAAGAGCAAAATCAATCTTCAGGAAACTCATGTACTGCATACCTGACATATGACGACTGTAAAATAAACTTCTGCAGGACAGCGTACGACAATGAACAATTACAACATAATGTCGTGCGTATAGGTTCCACGCGCACGAATAAAATAATTCAATGTCTCACCTGTTGATACATCAATTCCAGCAACCTTACTTTCATGGCCTGCAAGCGTCTTCACTGGTTTAAAATCACGGCCAGACCATATCTGCAAGACCAAACCACATATCCTCTTGTTTTCAACAAGATAATACGCTGGGACTAAACAGTTTCGAACATAAATAAGAGGAATTATAAATGAATCAAGTTGCAAAGATCATATACACCCCTTGTCACAATAAATGGTCATACTGAAGATGAAACTCGTGGAAATACCGAAATACATGCATGTAATCCGTAAGATGAAAGCAAGATAAGGATAAAAAGGCATTTAGTTCACAAACCCGAGATGTATTATCAAACGAGGCTGTGACCAAGAAGTAACCATCTGAAGGATCATACTTGACTTGAGAGACAAGAGAATTGTGAGCAGGAATGACATAAAGACACTGCTTCTTACGCAAGTCCCACACCCTGCATGTATGGTCATCACTACCCGTCGCCAAATGATAACCATTTGGCGAGAAATCGACACCATACACCTGCCCAAGTGAGACCAGCCCCAACCCCGCATTCCTCTTAGAACGAGCAATAAAGCTTCTGCTTATGAAACAGGTTTAACCGAGCTAAATTGCACAAAATAGAACCAATTGTGCAACACCAGTCTTAAGGCTGATCTTTTTGTTCAGCCGAGACAGCAAGACACTCAGAGCCAAGATAAATATGCACAAGCAGAGATTGCGGAAGCTTATGCACGTAAGAAGCATTCTAATGCACAAGCACTTCTACACTCACCGCTTTGACGTGACCTTCCAAAGCTAGAATACTTTTCCCAGTTCGCAAATCCCATACTCGACTCAGTGCATCCATCCCACATGATGCTGCTAACGCTCCATCCTGCTGAAATGCAATGCCATATACACTACGGCTGTGACCCTCCTGTAGCAACAGTTCAATGCCCGTGCTCACATCCCAAAGCCTCCAAGTCTTATCAAAACTTGCAGTTCCAAGATATAAACCTGAAGGATGGAATGCAATTCTGGCAAGGCGATCTAAGTGACCTTCATACGATTGAAGTTTCTTTCCTTCTAAACTCCATAATATAGCAGTCCGATCAGCAGATGCTGTCGCAACGTTTCCTGCCCCAGCATCCTGGGACTTGCAGGCTCCAGGGTGAATCACAACATCGGTCACACGTTCGGTGTGATAACCTTTAAATGTAGCAAGGTGCTGTACATCAGGCATACTCCAGAGTTTGGCCACACCTGTCCAGGAACTGCACACTCAAGTGATAATTAGCTAAGTGCAGTGACATATAGTCCTGAAGGCAAAGTGTAAAACCAAAAGTACACAAAAGAGCATAGTGAAGTTGGCATCCAAAAATCTACAAGAGGTTCCACGGATATTATACAAAGCTTCAAAAGCAACTCGATCACCATGTACATGGCGATTTATTCAACTCAAGCAGAGCACTAACTGAAGCCCTAGGAGCATCTGTAATTCCCTGAGCTTTCTTAACCCCACGTAATAATAGAGAATTAAAGTAGAACCTATTCTTTAGAATGGCTGCAAGTCCTAAATAATATGACAGAATGAAACTCCTCCATCCTACAACAATTTGATCAACTTTGGGAGAAAAAAAAAAAAAAAAAAAAAAAAAAAAAAAAAAAAAAGTCAAGCTATGCATACTGAATCCTAAATTCGGCGATAATGTGAGAAAACACTCACCTGGTAGCTAGCAAGGATGCATCAGGAGAGAACGAGCAAGAAGATAGAGGCCTGCCGTCACCAATCTCACTGCAATCCAGCGACGTCTCCTCCATAGATTTCAACACTTCATCAATTTCAGCGTCTTCATCCTCATCTGGGTCATTTCGCTTTCTCTTAGCCCTCTCAATTCGTGTCCACGAGCGTCGAAGAGAATACCTCAAAATCTGCTTGCGAGCTTCAAGAAGCTCTGCACTGCCTTCGGTGTAAAACAACTGCAATGGCGGAACATCGTCTTGAACGGTCTCATGATGAGCTTCATCAGCATGCGCATCAGCAGAGGCCTCATGCGCTTGGACCAACTTGTCCAGCTCTCCATCGGCGTCAAGCTTAGCCATGACAGCGCGGAGACGGTCACGGCGTTCCATCTCTCGCTCACCAAAGAGCGTAATGGGGTGGCCGAGGTGACGGAGGCGCTGGCGAACCGCGGAATCATTGGTCGGAACTGCGAGAGCAGTGGCGCGACGTCTCATCAGCAATTGTTGCACGAGTTGCTCCTTACGCTCGCGAGCGCGCTGACTCTCTTCCGAGACCTGATAGAGGTGCTCATCGTTCTCCATAGGTTCAGCGGTGGGCGAGTCGGGGCTATCATCTGGGGAGGAAGGCTCGCCATTGTCGGGAGCAGGGCCAAGACTCGGGTAGCGAGGATGGTCCATATCGACGTCTTCCTCGAGAGTTACACCAGGAGGGAGGGAGGAGTCCGCCATGGCGAGCAGCAAACAATTAAAAAAACGAAAAATGAAAGGAAGACTAAGGGATGATGGCGGGGACGGGCAACGCCAAAACTACACCCGATGCAAGACAGGATTCCGTGGATCAAAACAAAGGTGTCCTCACCACTCCACTAACGAAACCAAAACCATTGCGAATTTCCTGAGCTTGGTATGCCCCGCCGCCACAACAGAAAACCCTAACAACGCCACAGGACCACGAGCTTGGGCCCTCCAGCAACATTAGCTGAACGATGCGCCTCCGACCCTGCGCTCTGGGCGAGGGTCTGCTCTTTGTTGCGATCGAAGCTGCACAAAATGCCGCTCCGCCTGTTCCCCCCCAACCCCCCCCCCACAGCTCCCAAACCAAGTCCACCCGTCTTCAGATAGAAAAAGCTCTTCTCTCCGCATCGCATTAACCTATCTGAATTCACCTGCGGTTAAAAGGTCAAGGTTGTCTGCTCTGAGCCCATTTCTTGGAAGGAATCTTTTTAGGTTGTTATTTTCCGCTGGGGGTGTGTCTTGTCAACCTTGTATCTGGATTTAACCTCCAAAAATTCCAAGTACAATGTGGTAATTTTTGAAATATTAATGTAACGTTTGGATTAAGAAAATGATGTTGAGTTTGACATTCTTTTGCTGTAAGACATTGAATTTGTATATTTTCTATACTTTTTGTTGTTAGTTCTCTTTCAGAAATTTGTACATATTAAGTTTAGATGTATTAGTGATAACATCAAGGTGTATTTTTTGGTTTATGGTAGATAATGATCAATTTTACTGTTAAATATGCTTCCTTTGCAAACAATTAATTATGGAATGATTATGGATAATAGATAGATGAAACTAGTTTGTTCTTCATACTTTATTTTATTATTATTTAATTTTTTTAATTAAAAATATATGTATACTTATATATTCTTATTTGTAATATTTATTAGAAATACTTAGCATATATCAAATATATATATATATATATATATATAAAAAAGAAGAATTATACTACAATTCTAAGAAAATCCAACATGTCTTCAAATAATTTATTTTAATAAAGAAGATAAAAAAAAAATTGCATTTAAGATTATTGATCCTTGGTGTATCTTTAAAAGCTTGTATTTTCAAAGCTTATAAATTAATACAAAAGTTTAAAATAAACTTTTATTATACAATATTCTTTATGATTTTTGATTATTAATGATTTGTAATTATAGACCTCATATGTTGATGTAATAAGTGCATATTAAACAACTAATTCTAAAACATATTGTCTAAAGTATTTGAAAACTTATAGGAAGCAAACTTAGTATGTGTTAAAATCTTTGTGGTCATAAAAGAAGATACATCAAGCCTTTTTTTATAATCTTTGAATCTAGATTAGTTAAAAAATTTAGATTTTTGAACTTGCAAAAGTATCATATTTTTCTTTTTAAGATTTTTATTTTATATACATTAAATATATATAAAAAATTGTATATTAAAATATTTTAATTAATTATATATATACTAAAATATATATAATAATAATATTTTTTAAAGAATAAAATATAGAATTAAAAATAAATTATATTAAGATATAGATACAAAAAATAATAAAAATAAAATAAAATAAAAAATTATAAAATAGTATTTTATCACAAATATAGAATCATATGAATTTGAGACTAGAAGATCCTTGATGAAATCCATTGAAATAGAAGACTATAGTTGTTCTAGAATAGACAATGGCTACAGAAGTCCATAAAATCAATAATGAGGAGATCTAATCTTAAATAAATATCATATAATTGTACACAATATTTGATTGCCTTCCATATTTGAGGTTACTAAATATCTTTAAATATTAGCTCCAAAGTCTTATTGTATCTAAAATATCCAATTGTATGAAAGTTGTAATGAGTTTGGATAATAAGTAATTATTCTTTGCCTTTCAGAATATATATCTATCCTTTCAAATAAAATAGATTATTCTTGAACTCAAATTTAGAAATATCATAAGATTTAGAAGAAATTTCCTTAATATCATAAATAAGAGGATCAAAAGACACATTCAATTGAACTTGAGAAAGATTGATTTAACAATCAATTTTGATTTTATTGCTCAAAAATGAAAATGACTCAGCTTCAAAAAAATCATTTTTTGTTAATAAAAAATTGCATCTCCTTCTTTTGATGCAAGATAAGAACGTCTATAAATGACATCTAACAAACTTTGTTGTTTTTTGAATCAATAAGTAATCTTGAAATCAAATCTTAATAAAAACATGATCTAATAGACTTAGTGACAATTCAAAATACATTCAAACATGAAGTACTTGAGGTTCTTGTGATTTGTATACACAGTGATTGGATTCAAAGTGCCTTCTAGATAATGATGTCATTCTTGAAATGAATATACAATTGCAAAAAGCTCTTTATTGTGGATCTTGTAGTTAATCTTGACTACTAAAAAATTTCTAGAATGAAAAGCTATTGGATCGAACTTGTCATTTTCTCCCATTTGTGACAAAACAACATCCATAGCAAAGTTTGATGCATCTATTTCCATGAATAATGCCTTAAAAAAGTTGACATAATATAAAATTGTTAAAAAAATAAATATTATCTTCAAGGCTTCAAAGATGATTCAACATCTTTATTTCATTCAACTTTGTCTTTACATATCAAACGTGTAAGAAGAGCTACAATTTGAGATAAGTTCTTGATGAAGATCCAATAATACTCGACAAATTTCAAAAAACATTGCACATTTTAGACTATTTTTGAGATCTTCCAAACTATGATAGTTTAGATTTTTTTAAGATCTATCATATAACCATCATTTTATATGATATACCTTAAGAAGTCAACTTGAGTAGTGTGAAATATACTTTTTTTTTATCTTGGCATATAATTGTGCAACTTTAAGTTTTTGTAACACACAACAAACATGAACATTATGTTCTTCTATATTCTTAGAGTAGATTAAAATATTATCTAAATAAAAAAAAAAAACCATAAAATCATCAAAAAAATCATGAAAGATATCATTCATTAAATGTTAAAAAGCAATTGGTGCATTTCTAAGTCTAAATGAAATTTATTCTATTTAAAAATAAAAATTATATGATATTATATTCAAAAATTTATATCATATAATTTTTGTTTTTAATGACATGACATTATATTCAAAAACCTTTTTATTTTTTAACATTTAATTTAGTCTATGTAAAAGCAAAAAGGCATGACATTTGGTTAAGAAATTTAGTATATTTAAAAGTTGTACTTTTTTAGCCATAATAAATTTAAAATAATTAGATAAAAAAGAAATTTAATCATATTAAATATTACTAAACTATTATGACCACTAGTTGGTACATCTGAAAGAATAGTTTTATATGTAATATCTCCAAAAGATAACAAACGACCATCTATTAATTTAATGTATACAAGTTTGATTTTCTTAATTAAGAATATATCTTATTTTTTGATAAAGTCTTCACTTATAAAACAAGTTGAGGCTCGTGAATCTAATAAGGCTAAGACTTTGTGATTTTTTGATCTTAAACAAACTTCTATTATAAAACAAGATGAAAGATCTAAAAAAAGAATAAAATCTTTATTAGGTGTTACATAAGATTCTACTTGCATAATTCCTATTATAGTTGAAAAAACTTATTTTTTGACACATCGTCTTCTTTGACAAATATGCTTGTCATTTTGGGATTATGTTGTTCTTTTGTACAATATTGAACAGTGTGCTTGGATTTTCTACAATATATGTAGAAATCTTTTTGACAACAATAAGTCTTTTTTTTACTTAGTAAGAAGTTTAAAACATATCTTGTCAATTTACATAGGCTTTGGCCTAGATGAATAAGCTTTCAAAAACTTAAAAGATGTCGCTATGGCTTGATTTGTACTTCTCCAACTAAAACTTTATTTTAGACATCTTTTAAAGAATTAATTATTTCATATTATGGCTTGAGCATTAAATTTCTCTAATAATATGTTTTTGGTATTATCAATAAAAAAATATTTAAAATTATCTTTAAACCTATATCAAAATTAATTGATAAGGCCTTTGTTATTTCAATCTAAAATACAAACAAGATTTTAGAAATCAATAGCAAGTATAGTAGTTGAATATAATCCTTATTACAGCAATATAAGTTTGATCTTTGCTACCTTTTTGCAATCACTTTTTTAAAATGTAGATATAAATACATTCAAGAATAAATTTAAAACATATTATAGTTATGAATCTTTCTCCATTAAATGTGCAAATCAAAAGAGAGTACTTTCAAATAGAAGTGCATTTGAAAATCTAACTTAAATAAATCTATTATAGTATTGAAAAGAATGTAATCATAAATTGGACTTAATTTGTTACAAAAATCCTTGAAATTTTGATCTTGTACCATTAAACTTCTAAGGCGTACTAATCATTGCTTCCTTCATGCTTGTAGAAGGAAGACTTCCTAAATTTGGTTGTAAGACTAATCAACTTGATTCCCTAAATTACACAACTTCTTGGTATAGATTGTAGACTTTTTTTTTATATATATAAGAATAGTACTTCTAAAATTGGCTTTGGTAGTGTATGAAAATTCTATCGTAAGAAGGTTGACAAACTTATGAACATCTAAGATAGTTAAAAATTAATTCTCCTTTTGCCAAAAGTAGCATTCATAATTTTTCCTTCTATAAAAAATTCAAATAAATTCAAAATTTAAATTAGAGGAAGATAATCTGTAATCTTTAATATCAAATAAAAATTTCTATAAAGAAGGATGTTTTTTTTTTTAAAGAAAAAATCAATATTAAAAAATTAAATTATTTTTATAAAATTAGATAGTCTATAATTTTTAAAATATAGCAATAGAAGTAAGATAATCTAATTACTTCTAAAAGAAAAATAATGAGTTAGAATTCTTATCAAATTGTCAAGGACATAAATCTTAGAGAATTGAAGGATCAAGATACTCTTATGAAATAGAACTAGACTATCTCAAAAGTCTAAGATCCTTCTAATCCACAACAACATAAGGCCTCATTATAAAATAGGATAAAACAAACCACAACAAAACTGAACAAAATTAAACATAATAGGATATGATCAAATAGAAATAAAATAGAATAAAACTTAACAAAAAGATACAAAACCAAATTTTACTAAGAAAAATGGTCCAAAACCATATTTGACTAAATGTCCTAAAAAGCCCTAGCCAATCCTATTTATACCTTGTCCTACTACCCAGGACTTTTTAGAATGTTCTTAGGTGGTAGATCCTACCTAAATAATCACCTTAAATTCCTTTTTTAGAAGGTTCTATGATAGAAACCACCTAGATAAC